GGGGGGGGGGGGGGACGACGACACACAGAGATAAAGCCCCCCACAGTGAGGAAGGGAGTTGGGCTAAGGCAGGATGGAGCTGCAGGTTGTCTGTGGGACGTGGAGGGGGCGCAGCTCCTACTGCTGTGCACACCCTGGCAGAGCATGGGGAGGGTGGGGAGGTGGGCATGTGCCCAGTGCATGGTAGGGTGGGGTTGCAGCTACAGGCTGGGGCCAGGAGCTGAACCAGGCTCTTCCCAGCAGGGGCTGGGCTGCACTGTGCTTGGAGTGGGCGGAGCTGGCACTGGGAAGGGGACTTGGGGGGGGGGGGCTACAGTGAATTTTGGGGTAGCTGCAGTCCCTGTCCCCACCCCATAGCTCCTTTTCCAGTGCTGCTGCTGCCTGCCCTTAGCACAGCCTGGCACAGCCCCTGTAGGGAAGAGTCTGGTGCGGCCCTGGCCCCAGCCCTCAGCAGCAGCACGCCTCACCACATGCAGATTCTGGACACATACCCCCCGCGCCCGCCCAGGGTACGTACGGTGGCGGGAGCCGCCCCCTGGATGAGCTGTGGCTCCATCCTGCACCCTGCCCCGGCAGCACCTGCCCCAGCCCCTCCCTCACTCACTACAGGGGCCATGATCTACATGCCTCACACCCCCTTCCTTCCCCAGGACAGACTTACAAGCTGCCAGGCTGTGCACTGGAAATTGGATCAAAATCCTGAAAAATCGGCTATCTGTATCAGCCCCAAAAATCTCTATCGGTGCACCCCTAACATACACACATACATATGTGATATACACACATATCAGTACTTATCATGCACTACATGGTTTCACTTGTACTAAAGTCTTTCTTACCTTTGCCTCTTTTGCTACCTTTGTTATGTTAAGGAACATCTGGGCTATCTCTCGATCAAATACCCTCACTCTATCCCACTCCAGAGTAAGAGAGCTTTCTTTTTCATGGTTCACCTACAGAATAAAAACAAGCAAATACAACAAGTTGTTCACTACTTTTAAAAGCTCAGGAATGCACACTTCTCACAAGAGGCAAATCCTACAGCAGTTCACAATGAGACAATACTTATTACTTACAATTGGCACTTTCATTAAACTAACTGACTGCATGGCTTCTAAGATGATGCCTTAGGGCAGCATTTCTCAACCCGTGGATCACGACTCAAAAAAGTGGGTTGCAAGAATATATGAAAGGGTCATGAACAAACTTTAAAAATGGAATCTCCTTTAAAAAAGAAAAACCTGGGAAAGAGTGGCTTTTGCCTTGCAGGCTGGCAGAGCTCCAGCCTGCAATGGGCTGCTTGAGGCCCCCCCCCATCCCCCACACACATCCAGTTGCTGCCCCACACACTGGGGGACTGAGGGGAACTGGATTGGGACTGGGCATCCATGTTTAAAAATGGGTCCCGGTACAAAAAAATGTTGAGAACCACTGCCTTAGGGAACAGGGCACCTGAGTTAGTGGAGTTCAACTAATTAGATTACTTCTCTTTTTAAAATAAATATATTTCAATTGTTTGCATAATGTGGTGATCTACAGCCTGAACAAGCTGCAGATAACTCAAAAGATTATGTAAATATAGGCAACTAATCCACCAGGCACTCTCTCAGACAGCAATGGCCAACATAACTTGTTTAAAATCCTTGTGTCAGAAAAAAACATCAAACCACTCTCATGGTAAACATATTATCAGACTTAGGTTCCTGGAAAATAGCAACAACCTGGTATCAGTCCAGGAGGACTCTGCATGCAGGTCTGATAAAGGCAGCAACAGTTGGTACAAATTAGCTTCAATTTAAAACAAACAAACAAAATCAGTTAATTTTACTGTCCTCTCCCTAAAGCCTCACCAGGAACAAAACAGCAATTCCGGGGTGCAACAGGAGAGCAACTAAGGTGTCTCACTATGGTTTTAAAGGCATGAATTGATAACTTGCCTGGGACTCAGGCCAAAGGCTGACCCCAGTTGACCCAGCTATAAAAATGGATCCTCAATTCATGCTGGGGAATCAAGAGTCAATCAGCATGTTGCTAGCCATCTTACTCCCTCATGCGCTGCCGGCTACAGAAACTGGCAAGCCTGAACTAGGCCAGCTCAGAGGGCCGCCATGCATGGATGACACTTGACCATTTTGACAACAGTTATTTTGGTCTGTTCTTAGAATATGGGCAGCAGCAAAGCCACGAGTCTGCTGTGAGCTGCCAAACTACTCAGAGGATTCATTTGCCAGTTCACATAATGAGTTACCTTTCCTCTCAGGATTCTGATACTCAGCAAGGCAAATGTTTGTTGCCAGACTACTAAAAACCTGCACTGAGGTTCACTAGAGAATCAATCTAGGGATTCGCTCACATAAAAACTAATAAAGGGAAATCATTTTAGCTCAGTCTAAGATTGAATTTGAGAAGCCTCATAAAATGTATGCAATCAATACAAATTCAGCATAGATGCCTTTGAATCTGTTCCAGGACAAGTGATTATGTGCACTTAAAATTAATGAAAATCCATTGGTAAACCACAGGTATGCTCAGCAGTTAGAAGTTTAAGAGTTAACACACAAAGCTAAATAAGACTGCATTTTACTGATAAAAACATTAGCACATGGCATAAAATGTTACCTTGGCTTGCAGCACCCAGTAAGGTTCAGGTTTAAAGGACTGGATTTTATCATGCCTTTCAACACAGAATCCAAGTGTGGGGGTCTGACATGGCCCAAAGGAGATGAGGGAGCTGTCCAAATTGCCATATTTCCCCTGAAAATATTTAGTCTGAAATCTAAGAGAAAAAGTGTTGAGAGAAAATAACCTAAGACATCTGCATGTTAAGTTTATTTGCATCAAAACAAAATTCCCCATGTTCTTAGGTTTCAAAGAGAAGTAAAACATTATAAAAAAGGGAAGGATAATTACCGCTGAGAAACAAGCATCAGCTGATTTAGTGTAACAGTTTTGTCTGTCTAGTCCTGTACTACTGGAGTTAAACCACTTTAATTCTACTGTGAAGTTTGAGAATAAAATGGTTTAGCTTCAAATTAGAGCAGAATAGGAAGAGACAGATGAAGTAGAGCAGATAAGTTTTAAGCACAAATAAAGAGCTTAAGTTGCTGTTCTGTCCACATGCTTGTACCAATACATATGAAATACTCAGTTACACACTTGGGCACTAGAATTTGTATATACATGTGTTTTAAGAGTAACCAAGATGTTAATAGCCAACAGCAGTATCTTATGAGATAAGGCTAATCTCACTCTTGATTAAGCTAGGAAGAAAGAGATAGCAACCAGAACATCAAGCATTCACAAAGGTGACCACTGTTCAAGAAGACTACTTAGTTAGATCAGAATAGCAGTCAAGTACTATTAGAAGCTCACTATTGAGAGACGATATTAAACAATTTCATAAAATATTCAAAATACAAAAAAGAAATGTCACCATTTTAATTTAACAAGGCTAAATGAATACCAACACAAGAACCATCTATGCTGTCACCTTGTAAATGCACAGCCAATTCTCAGATCTAACTCCTGGCGGGCATCAACTGACAGGGCCTCATTGCGATTGGGTTCTCCCAAATGGTTCATGGCATTGCAGATGTCTGTGTCAGTAATGGAACTGAACTTAGCTCGGTAAACTGTCCTTTCAGAGCCACGAGGTTTATTCATAACAGGAAGAACAGCATCAAGAACCTTACAGGAAACAAAAGTATGTCGGAAATCAACAGATGGCAAGGGTTCTGATCTATACTCTGTATCGATATTATACAAGATAACAACCAACCCATTGTAGTCTCCTTCCCACCAAGATTTCATATTTTTTCTTTAATATGCTATCAAGAGCTTTATTGCCCATATATATCATTTTAGAAGGATGCTATGGAATAGTACGTCTGAAGCACTGATTTCACACAATGCACCTGCAAGAAGTAAAACACTATTGCTAGAAAGAGCCAAAAAAACACCATGTGAGTCATTTTTGCAGAGCTGACTGTCATTGGGCAAAAATTCACCTGCTTTATCCCAAACTCACTTTGAGACCTCAAAGGCAATTCAGTCCTTAAGACAGTGCTACATTAATGCTGCAGATGAACATTTAGTATTCGGTACACAATCTGAATGCAACATAGCAAATTCTACCTTAAGTTAAACTTCCCACTGCAGGACAAGTTCAAAACCTAGGGGTGTACAAACCAATACCATCTTCTTATGCAAAACGTGTTAATTTTAATTATATACTTGCTGTACAGAAAAAAAATCCTTATGATTCTGTACTTGAGAGAGATCTCTACCTTACTGAAGGAGAGTACTATGACGGCTAAGATTTTACAAACGCATAGCAGCTAAAACAGCAGTGAAACATAAGGAATTTCAAAGCATGAGAAGGCCTAAACACTTAGATGCATAAATTACGATACACCACAGATGAGCAAAATCAACAAATGGGCAATTTTTAGTTGGAGTCTTAGCAATTGAAGCTCCATGAAATTTTCACTAAGCCATTCTACACCTTCAAAGCCTTCCCCCCAGTTTGCGTGGACCTTCGTATGCATCTATGAACTAACGAAGTTATCATTTTATTTATAAAACCATAACATACAGTGAACTTACATACGTTGCATTACTAGGTAACAGTAATCTTACCTCAAAGCAGATGTTTTCCCCTTCCTTATCACAATCCAGCCACAACACAATGTAGTCACAGCCTCTTCCTTCCACCTTTAAGATAAATTAACAAAGTTAAAAATCAAAAGTCAGGTACCTCTTTATCCATGATTTTGCCTAAGCTAAACTCAGAATCTAGTGGGATGAAGAGAATGTTTTTTGGAGCAAAGATGAAGGGGATAGGAAGACAGTCCTGTGGCTAAAGCAGGGCCTGGGAGCCAGAGACTTCAACTTCCATATCAGGGTGGCTCTGAAACTTAATTAATTCTTTGAAAAGTACTCTAGATTCTCAGAACACCAGATGTGATCACTATACATGCAGCAATATAGCTGCCTTCTGGAGGACGCCCTAGTGTACAATGATCAAAATTTAACTAACCACTCCTTTTTCAAAGGCTTGGGCATGCTACGAGTAATTCAAAAAAAAAAAAAGAAGAAGTATGAGAAATATTAAATCAAGGATCAAATCCTGGAAAACATGGCCAAATAGTTCAATGGGGAAAACATTTTGGCCTAGCTAATTAATCTATTATATTAATGAAACAGCTGACTAGGTAAACTGGTCAAAGAGCTGCTTCCTATATTGAAGACAACAGAGATTTAAGAAGATGCTTCTGCCTTTTTCCCCCAGATAAGACTCCAACATACTGGAAGCCAAGCCTCCAAATTTACAAGAGTAAAGATAGCAGCTAAACATTTCACATCCTGCAATCCAAGAAGCATAACATATTTCAGATTGAGGAAGCCAGCTGCCTTTCTAAGGGCAGAACTGGAGGGCATGTCCAAGTGTCATGAAGGACAAAGTACCCTGCAGTATCAGCCTCAAAAATAAGATAAAGTGAAAGTGAGAAGAGATTCAATTCCCAGTATTTAACTAGGTACATTATTTTACATTAACATTTGAAACAGCTATGGAATTTTGCTAATTAACATGCAAGTGCACAATAGAAAAGAATAATGCATTACAAAATGTAATACTGGTCTTCATAACATTTACTAGTAAATGTCATATAGTGAATTTTGGAAAGTAAACAAATTTTAGTAACATGAGAATACATACACCACTCTGCTACCAAGCCTATGCTAACAATTAGAATTGACTGCAATGTTACTGTTAACTCTAAATGTTAAGGATCAGCAAATCTCTGTCCTGACCAGTTTAGCAAATAAATGGGTAAAAGAGACATGGGATAGGAAAAAATACTGATTTTGTTTTAAACCATTTACAAACTTCAAACTGTCTGCATCTGGGGATAAATGCAGCTGGGAAGAACAAACTTCCATCTCCAAAGGGTAAAAACTACACTAATGGTTCTCTAGAAATGAGAACGAAGATGCACACAGAAAAACTGGACTGGTCTCTGGAATAAAAATGTAATAAGCTCTGTCTTGGCAGTATCCAAGGGAGAAATTATACCTTGAACCTTAACTTTTCCCTATGACAGGAGTTTCATAGTAAGTAGGGTCAGAAGGGACCTGAGCAGATCAAGTCCAACCCGCTGCCACGGCAGGAAAAAGTACTGGGGTCAAACGACACCAGCAAGGTGTACATCTAGCCTCCTCTTAAAGACCCCCAGGGTAGGAGACAGCACCACTTCGCTTGGAAGTTGTTCCAGATCTTAGCTGCCCTGACACTGAAATAGTTCCTCCTGATGTCTAATCTGAATTTACCCTCTGCCAGCTTGTGACCGTTATTTCTAGTCACTCCTGGTAGTGCTCGGGGAAACAGGGACTCCCCCAGTGCCTGCTGGTCCCCTCTGACTAGTTTGTAACAGGCCACTAGATCCCCCCTCAGCCTTCTCTTGTGGAGGCCAAACAGGTTCAGGTCCCTTAGCCTCTCCTCGTAGGGCCTGCCCTGCTGCCCCCATATCATGCGGGTGGCCCTCCTCTGGACCCTCTCAATGTTGTCCACATCCCTGCTGAAGTGGGGCGCACA